TATATAATTAACCATTTAAAGCAAAAGTAGTAACAATATATTCTGAGTCTTGTAACATGTTGAAGTAAAATCTATGACAACAGTAGCATAAAGGACAGGAGGGGGAAATAGAAGTATATTACATTATATGTAAAGAGGTAGAAAATCATTGAAAGTAGACTGCCATAAATTAAAGTTGCATACTTTATTTTTTTTGTTTATTTATTTTTTCTTAAGTAGGCTCCATATCCAGCGTGGAGCTTAACACAAGGCTTAAACTCATGACCCTGAGATCAAGACCTGAACTGAGGTCAAGAGTCAGTTGCTTGGGGCACCTGGGTGGCTCAGTCAATTGAGTGACCGGCTCTTGATTTCAGCTCAGGCATGATCTCAGGGTTGTGGGATCAAGCCCCACCTTGGGCTCCACACTCAGCTCAGAGTCTGCTTGTCCCTCTCCCTCTGCTCCTCTCCCCACTCACACTCTCTCTCTCAAATAAATAATCTTAAAAAAAAAAAAAAAAGTCGGACACTTAACTGACTGAGCCACCCAGGTGCCCCAAAGATGCAGACTTTAAACCTGACAACAACAAATGAAGAAATAAAAATGAAAAGAAAAAAATTAAGCAAAGACGTATAGCTAATATGACAATAGTGGAGATAAAATGGAATCCTAAAAATTTCAATCCAAATGAAGAAAGGAAAAGGAAACAAACAGAAAACAAAAAGCAATATGATACACTTAAATCCAACCACCATAATAATCACATTAAATGGTCTATGTAAATGGCCTAAACTCTCCAATTAAAAAGCAGAGACCATAACTAAATTTTTTTAAAAAAACAAGATTCAACTATACTTGTCTACAAGAAACCCACCTTAAAGATACAGACTTTTCAAAAAGATGGATATATACCATGCAAACACTAATTGTAAGCTGCTACAGCTGTATTAATAAAGCAGACTTCAAAAGAAGGTATATTACCAGGGATAAAGAAGGACATATCATAATGAAAAAGAAAAAGGCTCAACTCATCATAAAGATATAACAATCCTAAATGTACATGGACCCAAACACAGCTTCAAAATTAATGAAGCAAAAACTGACAAAATGAAAGATTTTGTTTGGAGGAAACTGTTTGGAGACATCAGCACTCCTCTCTCAGTAACTGACAGAACACGTAGACAGAAAATCAGCACTAGCACAGTTTTTACAAAAGACTTTTATATATCTTGCGATATTCAATAAATCTCTTAGAAATATAAGGGAAATGTTATTATTAATATCTCATTTTATAGATGATAAGTATCTTGATGATTACCCAAAAAGTGAGTGACAAAACGAGAAATTATGACTGCCACATCCAGTGTTTTTTTCCTCTTTGGCTCCCAATTCACAACCTTGCTCAAAAATGTTTTTATTTTTATATCACACAGACCCAAACAACAATCTCCAATCAGTAGTAGTTTGAAATAGAGGTGAAAATTTCAGTTGATTTTTCTCAATTTCAACTTTTCTGCAAACTGACAGCAATAAGGCTAAAACACAAAGGGTTTGATTGCTGCTATTTCTGATTACATGTTATCTTGCACTGCACTCTGGATGTTTCACAGATATATGTCTTCTTCCCTTTGCTCCATGAGCATAGGATTATAGCTTCTAGTTCTTTAGTATTTTTACTGTCCTATTATAGCAATGGTGTCTAGTGACAAAAAAATTTTCTTGCACACTCACCGTACTTAAATTTGTAATCTCAAAACAATTTTGAAATCTTCTCAACGTTTCTACAATGAATACTCACTAATAAACTTTCCAAAGATAAAATCTCAAATGAAAGCACATAAATATTTCTTCTTAGCTCAAAAAGCAGGTCCTGTATCTGCCCAAAAAAATCTCTTCAATATCCTATTTTAAAATAATATTTACCTTCATTAAAACTATCAGGAACATTGGCCACCAACAGACATAAGAACCAGGCACCATTTCTAACATGTAGCAAGGCTTCAGCTACATCCACTATAGGAAGCAGGGAAGGGAGCTCTACAAGAAAACAAAGTCAATGTTACTATTAAGGGGTGATATTTCATCGTATTATACATAAGCATTTTTGACATTTCACAGATGTCATTTAAAACCAATTAATGGTCTAGAGCTGAATTGTCCAGTAGGATAGCCACCAGCCACATGAGGCTATTTAAACTAATTGGGATGCCTGGTTGGCACAGTGGATGGAGCATGCAACTCCTGGTCTTAAGGGTTGTAAATTCAAATTCAAGCCCCACCCTGGGTGGAGAGATCACTTAAAGATTTTTTTTTTTTTTAATTTATTTGACAGAGAGAGAGAGAGACAGCGAGAGAGGGAACACAAGCAGGGAGAGTGGGAGCGGGAGGGAGAAGCAGGCTTCCCACCGGGCAGAGAGCCCGATGCGGGACTCGATCCCAGGACTCTGGGATCATGACCTGAGCCGAAGGCAGATAATTAACAACTGAGCCACCCAGGCACCCCGTACTACACTATTATTCATATCACTCTAGAAGGCTTATGGTACTAATTATGTATATACAAGTAGGTTTCTCAGTAGACTAGGGCTAAAGGTCAAAGGTTTGTATCTCATAACTAGTTTATAGTAGATAGTCTATTAAAACAGACAGTGCTTTAGTAAAACTATGCTGTTTCTAATGATCTTGTCATAAAGTGAGGTAAATTTGTTAGTAGTTCCTAACTTTTTAAAATTAAAAACCGGGAAAGTTGTACATTTCCACTCCTCTGGCATCTTCTGGTTTTCTACAGCATTTCTGAAATCATTATCTACAAGTTCTTTTAGCACCAAGGATATAACTCATTTGGACCTGGCACCTTTAAATCCTTTAAGTCAGTTAACTATCTCAGATTTTAATTTCATCACAGGCAAGTTATTTTACATTTTAGAGCTTTAAGACCCTTCAAGCTGGCTTCTTTTTAGTTGGGAGTAGGTTAGGACAGAAAGGAGATAAAGATTAAGTATTAAATACTTGATTCTTTCCATTTTTTCCATCCTTGATCTTGCTAGAAGCATATTTTAAGATTTTGAGAGAGGGAGAGTTTAGAGGGAGAGTAAGAGGGAGGAGGCTCCCCACTGAGCAGAGAGCCTGATGCAGGACTCGGTTCCAGGACCCCAAGATCATGACCTGAGCTGAAGGCAGACATCCGAGCCACCCAGGCGCCCCTAGAAGCATGTTTTAAAAGTCCTGTTGTAGCCTTTAAGCATATTTTTCCTCTGGCAAGTCTTAATTATTCTGGATTTGACTCTTCTAGAGAACATAGGTATTAATCATCCCTCACATCTGTATTTTACAAATTTCTCATTTTTTTGTAATCCTTTTGAGGTTCCCAAAGCTAATGTTAGGAAGGTATGGTTACTATTGAGTTCACGTACAAATGAACAAATTGACATTTCAAGAGGTTCCAATGTTTTCCCTGTAGTCACCAGCTAGAAGGTAGCAAACCTAAGAGCACAAGAATCCTAATCTAGGGATCCTAAACTATTTCTACTAATGTGAAAATAGTCCTAATTAGAACTGTACAAGTTCGGGCGCCTGGGTGGCTCAGTTGGTTAAGCGACTGCCTTCGGCTCGGGTCATGATCCTGGAGTCCCGGGATCGAGTCCCACATCGGGCTCCCTGCTCAGCAGGGGGTCTGCTTCTCCCTCTGCCCTCTTCCCTCTTGTGCTCTCTGTCTCTCATTCTCTCTCTCAAATAAATAAAATCTTTAAAAAAAAAAAACTGTACAAGTTCATTTAAATTATTTGCAAAACTCACGCTTCAACTAAGTACTGTAGTTTGAGGTACTTATCACAAAAAGTCTGTTCAAGTATTTCAGTGCCTTACTAATGTGCTAGATGTTGTGTTGGATTCTAGATGCAGTAGTAAGCAAAACAGACCCAATTTCTGCCCTCATGGGGTTGTTTGGTAGGAGACAAGTATACAAACTGTGAAAAACACTTATGAAGGCTCCATATAGAATATTACAGTAAAGGAATATAACTTGGAGACCTAGTCTGAAGCAAGGGTGTGTATGTGGGAAGTGGGGGAAGCCTTAAGGCAAAAATAACCATAGGGCTTTCAAAGAACTCATATGCCTAAGAGACCGGGAGGAAAGCACAGGAAAGAAGCCCATTTTGAGGCTTGTGGAAAAGAAGGTAGGGGACAGACCATGTAAGACTTTTGATATTTAGAGCAAGAAGCACCCATGAAGGGTTTTAAGCTACCAAGAAAAAAAAAATCACAGGTAATATAAACTGTAAAACAAAGAATAACTTAATAAGGTACAAGTTCCAACTACATATATCTCCTTTAAAAGGCTTATTTTAAAATTTTTGTTGGCAGAAACTATTTCAAAATGAACACAACAATTTTGGGGTTTGTCCTTACTCAGCTTAAGTTTGTACAAAAATATTTAAAATGGCTGCTTATACAAAATATTTTTAATGGATTGTTCATATCTGAACCCCTTTATTATGTTTCAAAAACATTTGTGTGATCAAAAAAAATAGGACTGAACTAAGCTTTAAATATTTGAAAGCAGCTTGTTTAGACTAGAAAACGGATACCAAACTGATCAGCCTAAAAGGAATATGTACATACATATACAATTTTCCTGTATATTAATCATTTAGTTAAAATCTTTTTTAAGGGCGCCTGGGTGGCTCAGTCGGTTAAGCGACTGCCTTCGG